AAAAAATAAATAAAATTAACAAACCCTTAGCCACTCTAATGAGAAGAAGAAGGGAGAAATTTCAAATTACTAAAATTTGTGATAAAAAAGGAAATATCATGACAGACACTATTGAAATACAGGAGAGAATTAGAAACTGTTTTGAAAATTTATACTCCAGTAAAAGAGAAAATCTCAAAGACACCAACAAATTACTAGAGGCATGTGATCTATCCAAACTGAGACAGGAGAACATAAACAATTTAAACAGATCAATTTCAAGAAAGGAAATAGAAGATGCCATCAAAAGCCTTCCAACCAAGAAAAGCCCAGGACCAGATGGATTCACAGCTGAGTTCTAGAAGACCTACAAAGAAGAATTAATACCAATACTCCTCAAATTATTCCATGAAATAGAAAAGGAAGGAAACCTTCCAAACTCATTCTATGAAGCTAGTATCATCCTGATACCAAATCAAGCAGCAACACATCAAGGAAAGAAAACTTCAGACCAATATCCCTGATGAACATAGATGCAAAAATTCTCAATAAAATTCTGGAAAATTGCATACAAAAACATATTTTTAAAAAATAGTTGGGACTGGGGATGTAGCCCAGTGGTAGAGCACTTGCCCAGCATGTGTGACACATTGGGTTCAATTCTCAGGACCACATATAAATAAATAAATAAATGTTCATTGACAACTAAAAAAATATAATTCTAAAAAAAAAAAAGTGCACCATGATCAAGTGGGATTCATTCCAGGGATGCAAGCTTGGTTCAACATACAGAAATCAATAAATATAATTCATCACATCAATAGACTCAAAGATAAGAATCATATGATTATATAAATGGATGCAGAGAAAGCATTTGACAAAATATAGCACCATTTTATGTTCAAAACACTAGAAAAACTAGGGATAGTAGGAATATACTTCAACATTGTAAAAGCTATCTATGCTAAACTAAACCCAAGGCCAACATTATTCTAAATGGAGAAAAATGGAAACATTCCTTCTAAAACCTGGAACAAGACAGGAATACCCTCTTTCACCACTTCTTTTCAATAGTTTCTTTGAAACTCTAGCACCCTCATACATTGCTGGTGGGTCTGCAAATTGATGCAACCAATCTGGAAAGCAGAATGGAGATTCCTTTAAAAACTTAGAATGGAACCACCATTTGGCCCAGCTATGCCACTCCTTGGTCTATATATCCAAAGGACTTAAAATCAGCATACTATAGTAATGCAGCCACATCAATGTTCATAGCAACTCAATGCACAATAGCTAAACTGTGGAAGCAACGCAGATGCCCTTCAATAATGAATGGGGTAAAAGAAACTGTGGTATATATACATAATGGAATATTACTCAGCAATAAAAGAGAATAAAATTATGGCATTTGTAGGTAAATGGATGGAGTTTGAAAATATTATGCTAAGCAAAGTAAGCCAATTCCCAAAAAATCAAAGGCTAAATGTTCTCTGATAAGTGGATACTGATCCATAATGGGGAGGGGGGAGGTATAGGAAAAATGGAGGAACTTTGATTGAGCAAAGGGGAGGGAAAGTGGGGAGGGTGCATGGGGGCAGGAAAGATGGTAGAATGAGATAGACATCATTACCTAGGTTCATGTATAACTGCACATTTGGTGTGATGCTACATGTACAAACAGAGAAATGAAAAGTTGTGTTGCAATTGTGTACAATGGATCAAAATGCATTCTACTCTCATATTTATCTCATTTAAATAAATAAATAATAAAAAAGAAAGATGTTGTGACACTTTCTATTGACTGTGAAGTCTTCTGAAAAGAAATCTACTAAAAAAATTTGCATTAAAAAAATCTACAACTAAAAAAAAAAAAAGAACATGGATGGTCTTTCCATCTTCTAAGTCTTCCTCAAATTCTTTCATTAGTGTCCTATAGTTTTCATTGTAGGGTCTTTTAGCTCTTTTGTTAGAATAATTCCCAAGTTTTGTTTTGTTTTTGTTATTGTTTTTGATGCTATTGTGAATGGGTTGGTTTTCCTAATTTCTCTTTCAGCTGATTTGCTATTGGAGTATAAGAACACAATTGATTTATGAGTGTTGATTTTGTATCCTGCTACTTTGCTGAATTCATTTATGATTTTGACACATTTCCTGGTGGAGTTTTTGGGAAAACAAAGGAGATATAAATATAACATGCAGCCTGATCTAGCTTATGGCCCTCTGTCTAGAGTTGTATTGTCAAAACCAAAGGGAGATTATCTGCACGGACCTCCCAGAACTGGCCAATGGAAAAAAATACTCATCCTATCAATGGCACAGGGTCTCTAGGCTGAGGAGGCTTGCACCACTGACTGCCAGAGCACACCAAATAGCCTCATGCTCCTCCTCATTTCCCAGCCTCCTGTGAGGTTCCATGGGGACTTGGATCCATGCGACTAGCATTAGACACTGAAGTGTAAGTGGCATGAAAGAATATCCCACCTGGGATGATGAGGTAGTTAACAGCCCATGTGCCTCTTCCACTTCCCTTTTCCTCTGTCTCAGTGACCTTGGAGGCCATGGGTCTCATGTGACAGGGCTACAACAGCTATGATGGAGGACAGCTGCCCTACCCAGCCTTGGCCTATGAGTGGGATCGACCTTGTTGTATCAAGCTAAGCTGCTCATGTTTCATTAAAGGCAGTCAGCACTAATGATCAGAACCCAAGCATAAAGACTGCATGGCAGAAATATCTCTAAATAGCCAATGGCCATTGGCTGGTTCACTTTCATCAATCTTCTGCTCTCTATGAGACCCACCCTGCCTCCATCCTCACTCAACTTTTTGAAGAAAATAGTTAAGACCTTATCGTGCTAAGAGCAATGACTCATGGAGCCAGCCACTGAACTAAATAATCCTCAAACATTATTTCATTAAACTTAATTCTTGTGACAACTTTATGAGGTAACTGAAACTATTAACCCCTTTTACAGACGAGGGAAATGAGCAGAAGTCCTGCCGTATTCAGACTGTCAGTGAGTGGCAGAGGTCTCTTGACTCAGGGTCCACCTGACAGCCAAGGTGTCAATTGTCCCTCAAGTTCCATAGGACAAAATCTTTATTCTTAGCAGATAAGAGAAGTTCTCTCTGGTATGGCCCTGCTAATGCCTCCTCCACCCCAGGTGCCACTGCACTCCTCACCACCTGTTCATCTCCCTCCCACCTCCAGCAACAATAACAAAGTGCCTCTGGCTCCCAAACTCACTTGCCTCCTCTGTGAGCCTTCCCTGCCCTCCCTCACTCCCCCTGCACTGCGTCTGTAACTTCTCTGGTTTCTGTTCTCTATGTTCTGTTTACTTTTTGTTGTTGTTGTTGTCTGTTTACTTTTTTAATGGTATGTCTCCATAAGGTCATGGACCAGGTTTCTTCATCACCATATTCACAGAGTAACACACACTGGGCACATAATACATAATATTTATTGAACTGACTTTCACTGGCCCCAAGAGTCCATTCCTGAAACTGGTTATTCTGGAAGTTCGTTCTTTGGGAAATAAACATTATTGCTTAGAATAGGGTCTTGTTTCAAGTTTGGATTTTGTGAATTGATTTACCAGCAGTCACATGCCTCATGCAGCAAACTCATTGTCGAGTTTTTGAACCAAAAAGATAGAGGACAAGCTTCTGTTTCCACTAACATTTGTCAAGCATAACCTTATGCCGGGAACAGCACAAGACATCTTTGTGTTGTCTCATTTTAGCTTAATGACCATCTGGGGATCTGATTCTGCCTAGTGTGTAGCTAAAGAGTTGAGGTTCAAAAGGTTTGATAGCTTTGCTCTTAATCACCAGTTAGTTGCAAAGTCTGAGTCCAAAATCAAAGCTCTAGACTTGGAAGTGTAGCCTCTCTGGACCCACAGGAGTCTGGTCAGGCACAACATGTCAACCTCAATCTGAATGTGCACTGGCCTCTCGCTGGCTTGTGCACCCTGACAGCATCATCTCAGCCTGGGAACCTATGAGGCATCTCTGAGCATCCAAGTGTTTTCAAAACAAAGAGGTGAGTGTAACAGAGATGGCCCTCTACTTACACACACACACACAAACACACACACACAGCATGTATTTATACATATAAAACCTCATCTGTGTGTGTGTGTATGCACATCCAAATGCTTACCAAATTTCATGTATACACATACATACATATACACCCATACCTAACTAAGGACCAAAAGTAATTAAGTCTTCACTTGAAAGAGGAAACCGTCTTTGGGTTTTTTCTCAGGGAATAAAAAAGATATCAAGTGTTATGCTTTCTGCAACCTCTTAACCAATTTTAAATCTTTCCACCAGACAAATGGTTGCTCCTTCTCCCACTATGGACCTGAATATTTCTAAAGAGTGCGCATTCACTGGACCACATTGAGAAAAGCACAACTTAGAAGGCTCATCTACTGGGAGGAGGGGGTACAGATGAACACTGAGTGTCAGTGCAATCCAAGAAGGGTATCTTTTACTCCAATCACAAGATGCCTTGGGGCTCTGTGAACCAGGGGACCTCGGGTGCCCTGGGTTCCCATTCAGTGACCACTCCACCCACAGAAGAGACATGGTCTGAGATGAGGTTTCCCTCAGGAGAGAGAGAGACAGCCTGACCCTGCAGGAGTTTTTAAAGTTTATTGGTGGGATACAGGAAGCAGGGAGATGAAACCTAAACAGGGACAATAACTCAGATTGAGAGCCCAGATCCCTTGGTTGGTAGGACCAGCCTCACAGGGGACGCTCAACTCTATAATGGGCAGTGACCATACCAGATACACCTGTGACCAGGCACCTGTCCTGAGCTGGTGCTGGTCTAAGAGGAAACCATTCTCCCTAGACTATGCATCAATGCACCTGAGGTCTTCTGTGTCCAGGGAACACCTGGGCGGATGACTGCCTGAGACAGGGTGGAGAGCATAGCAGGAGAATTGTGCCACTCTTGAGAGAGAACCTTCCTCTGTAAGGGGCCACGCAGGCAGAGAAAGGGCCAGGTCCTCATCCGGAAAGAGAGGCTGAGTTGAGGAGTCTCTGTGGAGGCAGAAGGATGGGGAAGCAACTCCAGCCCAGAATCAGGATTCTGACTAAGAATACTAGGGCAGAGAGATCAAAGAGAAGGAGGAGATGTTGGTGACAAAGAAAAACAAGGAGAAGGTGACAACAGGACAGAGGAACTTCCTGGAGAAGAGAGTCCAGAGAAAACCTGGGCAGGGCAGATGCTGGGGAACAGGCTGGGCAGTCTGCCACTTTATCTCGTGGTTTTCTTGGTGGGTGAGCTCAGAACTGAGGTCTTCCCTGGGGCATCCTTGAAGTCGTTTCCACTGCCCAGCTTGGTCTTGACCTCCCCGCGGGGGCTGCAATTCCCACTGCCAGTGACACAGCCCCCAGGCAGCACACTATAGCCCCCACTGACAGAGCTGGTCCGGTAGCCATAGGTGCCAGGACCACTGAGCCCAAACCCAGCCCCTGCACCTGCTGTCCCAGAATTGGAGCTGCTGATGACAGCTGTGAAGGAAGGAGAGAGAAGTGATCAGTTTGTGGGCAGATCTGGGCAGGGGTGGCCCTGAGTCCTTTACAACCCCTAACCCCAACTAGTTTAAATGACTCACTCTTAAGCAAACAGTTCATAGTCACTGTGAACTTTGGTTTAGTGACACATTCTCAATTCTTGAGCAGCCAGCCAAAGCATGAGGAGAAACAGCCCAGATCCCACAGGACCCTCGAATTGGGCACCTGCTCATTCCAGGAACAAACGACAGCAGCAAGTTTTGAAGAAAAGAAGAAGCTCAAGCATCAGATAAGCTCTGTCCTTGCATTTCACTTTAAAACGCATTCAGTTTTTTCTTTCAAAGTAGTTCCTAATGGGTTGAAGGAGGGAGTTTTTGTTGGAGCCTCTTTTAGAAGGAGCCTGGGCTGAAACCTATAGGGACAGCATTAAAACTGGCTCACACAGCATGTCAGTGTGCAGGTCTCTGCCCTCAGAGGGGAGCTGGGACTCTGAGGCCACAGTTCCTTCATGCAGGAAAGCTGGGGGGGGGCAGAATGGGAGTAAGATTGGGCATTTAATCCCAGCATGGGCGAGATTTCAAGGAAAGGGGTCAGTGTGCAATGTCACAGTGTGGGGAAGAAGCAGCTCTGGATTGGGGGAGAGGAGGCAGCAGGTTTTTGCAAGGGAAGCGAGTGTGTGGCAATAGTGGCCACCAAGCAGATCCCAAACTGTTCCACAAGGGTCTCGACTCATTGCCTTTGTGTTTGTTGATCACCTAGACATACTCCCTTAGAGATAGGAAATACTCACAAATGCTCACGGAATTGGTATATTCTCCAGACATCCTGCACAGAGAGAAAACACAACTGAGTCTCCTTCACGTGGAATTCAGGTTGCCCTCTCCACTGCCTCAACCCTAGCGCAGAAGTCATCAGCCAGACCAGCTGGGCTTCCATGAGTTCCTGTACCTGCTGCCTCTAAGCATCTCCCTCCCTCCTCAATCTACCCTCCTCACTTCAGAAGATGGAGGAGGCCTGTGACCTTGGGGCCCCTATGCCACCAACACTCCCAGGGTCCCTCCTGCAAGGTTTCTCTTGAGCCCATTTCTGTATTGCTGGGAAGCTCCTCCCCCTATAAATATACAAGTGGAACTGTTAGGACCAGGAACTGCTCCTGGTGAAGTCACTGTGTGACTTGAAACCAATAACTTCTCCTCTCTATGTTGCAGGATTTTTCAAATGGCAGTGTTTCATGAACTCTCTTTCTAACTGTTGCTGTGACCATGTGCATCTTGCACTGTCATAGATTTAGTATTTTTAACTATCTTTTATCAGAGATGCATTTCTCTTTTTTAGAAAAAGGTTTTTATCACCATGATATATAGAAAACCAATATTACTTTACCAAATTGGGGGAATAATAATAGCAGTTAAAATGAAAATAATGAAAATAAAACAATTTAGTTGAGAGGGACTAGATTCTAATGTCTGCCAAGTGACTGTGAACCTGGGGTCCACTGTCTCTTTATTAACATGGGATCATGTGCAAGTTTGTAAGAGGCCTTAAAGACATAGGAGCACTAAGCTGACACCCTCCCCCAAGAACCAAAGGACATTGCTGTCCCATTATCGAAGTAGACACTGCTCCAGGCTATGTCCATGGGTGAGCCAAGAAGCATCTCCAGCCCTCCAGCAGCCTGACACCCACACTCTGGGAAACTGAGTGGAAGGGGAGATGGCAAAGAATCTTCCAGCCCCCAAGACTGCCCCTCACCTGCTCTCCTCGCCCTCCAGCAGCTTGCGGTAGGTGGCGATCTCAATATCTAGGGCCAGCTTCACGCTCAGGAGCTCCTGGTGATCGCGCATCATCCGGGCCAGCTCCTCCTTGGCCTGCTGCAAGGCACCCTCCAGCTCATCCAGCTTGGCCCGGGCATCCTTAAGGGCACAGTCACCCCTCTGCTCAGCATCAGCGATGGCCGTCTCCAAGTTGGAGCACTAAGGGGCAGGAAGTAGCATTTCCCCCTAAGTTCTGAGACACCTGGGCCTCACTGCATCCCCCTTGTGCTCACAGTGTTGGATCCTCCTCTGCCTTGTCCTATTTCCTAGACCAAGGACCCAGATGATGGTGGAGCTCCTCAACCTAGCACCAGGAGGCTTATTATTCTGAGAGCTGAGGCTTTATGAAAAGACCATTGGATGCTTCCAGACTTCCAATGGGAGCGAAGTGTTACAGGGGGCAGGGTCTCCAAGAGTAAGGGGTTCTGAGATGCAGAATGCAGACAGAAGTTCTTGCCTCCCTTGGGGGTGAGTCCGGAGCCCAGCCCCCTCACCTGCTTCTTCACACTCTCAATCTCTGAGCGCAGTCTCTGGATGACCCGGGTCAGCTCTGAGATCTCATTCCTGGTGTGTTTGAGGTCATCCCCATGTCGGCCAGCGGCCAGCTGCAGCTCCTGGAACTGGAGAAAGAGGGGCCAAAGCAGGGACATGACTCCGGGCCTCACTGAGCTCTGCTTGGCACAGAGACTGTGTCTTTGCTTGGCAGAGGTGGGCAGGGACTCCCAGCCTCACCAGCCCATCCACAACCTCCCCTTCAACCATCATTCATTGGACTTTTTTGTTTGCCTTAAATACAGCTAATCTCACTGGGTTCAATTTGGCCATAAGGACGATAGGAAATCCAATACTCTCCACACGGTAACTTTGTAACACCCAACTCCAATTATGATCCTTGTACCACTTCAAGGTCAAGGTCAAATTAAAACTCTTCGCTTGATTTCAAGGTGCTCATTTCTCAGTACCCCTGCCCATCACCTGACTTCCCAGCTGTATCATATAGCTCTACAGTTCCCCAAGGTATTTCACTCACTCTTATGTCTCTGAGTCTTTGCTTGAGACCCTCCCTCCACCTGGAAACCCCTTTTCTCTGTTCTTCCTTTTTCCCTAGCTGGCTCCAACTCACAGGGCAGTGCCACCTCCTCTAGGAGGCCTTTCCTCATCCCCTAGTTAGATACAATTCTGTTCCCATTGTCCCTGGCACATCAGTCCACAGAAAAGAGCATCCCACATCATGATGGCACATTTTTGTGTCTTCCTTGTCATATTCAGAATGAATGGATGACAGGATCTTTAATTTCTGCATTACCAGTACTTAGCACAGTGCCTAGTCAATGCTCTAGGAAATTCTGGTGAGTGAATGAATGAATGAATGGAAGAGGGAGTCAACAAGCTGTCCATCTATACTTCCTACAGATGGACTTCCTCTCTTGATACTTTAATTGGATCCTTGTCTGTGGAATCCTTGCTGGGCTGGGACAGAGGACTTAGCATGAAGGAACCATTTGTATGTGTGGTAGGAGGGACGTCATCTGTACCTCAATTCATCTAGCCATGAATTTTGGGTCATGTACTGGTTCAGGATTATTCCTGCCTTTAAGGTTCATTGAGTAGTCAATAGAGAGTACCCCAGTTCTAGTCCAGAATTTGACTTAAGGGAACCACAAAATAGGTGTAACCTTCAGCACTCTAGGGACATAAACTGCCCTGTCTCTGTACCTGAGAGCTCAGCGCCAGCATAGCCTCAGATTCGAGATTCCTCCTGGGGTTGCTGAGTCCTTCCAAAGGCAGGAGAATCTCTCTATGCTCCTTATTTTAGTATTTGGTGCTAACCCTTGTCAGAGGCTTCTCCCCATTTTTCTATAAGTGGGCAGGAGGGATGCCCCATACACTCCCGAGGCAATCAGATGAGCACCCTCCTGCCACTCAGCTCTCAGCCCAGCCAAGCCCATGGGTAGAGTCGGTGCTTCTTCCTCAGCCATCTCCTGACTTCCTGCCTAAGCACCAAGGAAGTTGTAAGCAGTTCCCTCAGCTCAGCTCCAGCCCCACCATGGACTAGCTAAATGCCCTTGGCAAGTTACTTGGACATCCTGAGCCCCAATTCTTCATCCTGGAAAAGGAAAATAACTAAAATACTCATAATTAGCATGCCACAGTGATATTCTTCTCAATAAATACTGAGCCCTAAATGGAGAAGTAGAGGTATGGATAACTTCAAGCAGCAAATGGTCCAATGATCATGTCTGTGTGTCGATGCGGACCTGCCTGCTCCTTCTGGAGAGCGGGGTGGGACATAACAGCCTGGGATTGAGCACTGGCTCCTGACAGCTCGGCATGGATAGGCCACATGGCCAGTCCCAGCCCTGGTTTGAGACAGTAATGTGAAAGGGTCTGGGGACCAGACTCTCAAATCTGTGACAATATCAAGAAACCCTGACCTCTGGTGTCTCTGGGGCCCTGAGAACCTCCCTTCCCAACTACAGTCCAAACTTCTGTCCAAGATTGGCAGGGAATCAGGGAAGGGAGAAAGAAGTTCTTCCAAGAGTGATTTCCCCAGAGAAAGAGTCTGATAAACAGCAAGGAATAATTAAAAAGTCGCCATCTTGATCTGAGAAACCAAATTATCTAGAGTCACTTCCCACTCACAACCAAACCATTAGAGGAGTTAAGATCTAAGAGACTCAAACTCACTCTTTATCCTTGGAGTTGGACTTGAATGAAAAGGTAGGAGTTACCTGATCCCAGATCATACTGAAGGATCCCCTAATTTATATAATGAATGCTGGAGCCGAGGCGTTACCTACTCATATTTCCCCTACCCGAGACTCAGTTCCAAACTCGGCCTCCAGGGAGTCAGTCCTGGCCTAGTTCCCTAGTCTGGGTTCTGAGAGCACCGCGTTCATTTGCATTCAGCTGTGTGCATGTCCAATGGCTGCTGTCATAAGTGGATCCCAAGGACTTAGCTGTGTCTTCTCCTCCCTTAGGCTTCCTCCAGTGTCGGGGGACAGTACTGTGTTCTCCATAAGCACAGTACTCATCATGAGAACAAATGCTTGCCTGAAGTTCAGAGGCTCCTGGAGAGTCATGGACAGATGAAACAGAGACTAGATGGAGCCCTCCACCCCCTGACTGGACAGGTGTGCAGCCTCACCTTGGTCTGGTACAGCGCCTCGGCCTCAGCCTTGCTCTTCAGAGCAATGTCCTCATACTGGGCGCGGACCTCTGTGATGATGCTGTCCAGGTCCAGGTTCCTGTTGTTGTCCATGGAGAGGATGACAGATGTGTCACTGATATGGGACTGCATCTGAGCAATCTCCTGCAGGGGAGACAAGAAAGCATTCAGTTGTGTGTGTGTTTTTTTTTTCATGATCAGAGGAAGGTGCCAAGGGGATGGCCCCATTCCAAAAGGGTGGCCCCAGACTATTCCAAACAGACGAACTTGCTTCCCCTAATGCCTGTAAGATTGGAGCTCACCAGCCCAATGTTTCAATAGCAAAAAAGTCAAATATCAAAATTTCACATCAAAACACTGCTGAATAGGTTTTAAGCAGACCAAGAAGAAAGCAGCCCTTACATCTGTCACTTGAGGCAGGACAGGAGTAGGAGAGATAAATAGCTTGGCCACTACACAAGGGTCACAGGAGCCTGTGGATATTTGGTCAATAGACTAAAGCTTGAAGCCAGATGCTCATAAAAGAAGCAGAAAGGGTGTGAGGAGTGCCAGCTCCATCCCTGGGGATTCCTGCCAAGACCCTAGGAAACACCAAAGAGAAGACAAGTGGGAATGAGAATATGCTTGAGTGAAGTTCAGTGTGAACCCCATAAGGTCCAATGGTTTCCTGAAAGATGTGAGTGGGACCTCTGGAGGACAGGCAGGAGCTAATAGATCTTCTGCCTTTGACCTATAAAGCTTCTAGCAGCGAGGACTGGAGGTCCCCTGGGCCTTAAAGTTACCAAAAGAAGAACATATGTCTGTCCTTCTAGAAGACAGAGCTGGAGTTGGGCAGGGGAGACTTACGCCTTCATAAAGGCACTTGAAGAACTTGATTTCTCCGTCCAGCGCATCCACCTTGGCCTGAAGCTCCACCTTGCTCATGTAAGCTGCATCCACATCCTAGGAAGAATCCAGAGACCCCCTGACATGGCCTTCCTGTGAGGCTACATAAGACTCACTCACTAAATGACACCCAAGCACCAATACTGGGGCTAGCCACCCCAGGGAATGGAGTCAAGACCCAGGGGCAAAAACCTGACTTCCAGCCAGGACTCCTTGTGCAACCTCAGGCAAGTTCCTCAGGCCTCCGTAACTCCTCCTGCCTCTTTCTTCAAAGAGGGCAAGGGAGCCTGCTTCTCCACGTGGCAGTCACTAGGAAGTCAGTGAGCCACGAACAGTCACAACAATTTGCCAATGACAGGCAGGGTAAAAGGCTGATCTCAGCCCTTCCTAGAGCCTGTCCTGTGGCCTAGGCAGAGGGCATAAGCTAGACTGTCCAAGGCTGGACTCCTGTTCCTTTAACACACCCCCAAAATGTTCTGTTCCAGACAACCATCAAGTGTCCAGGGCCCTCAAGCAACAAGCCTTCATCTCCTCTGTGGGCTCGTCAGCCCCAGGCCTTTCCTCAGGGAGCACAGGCCTCAGTCCATCCTCTGCCCACCCCTAAGAGACCAGAGGCCAGGCATCCTCACCTTCTTAAGCACCACAAATTCATTCTCAGCAGTTGTACGCTTATTTATTTCCTCTTCATACCTGCAGAAAGAGCACCAGTGAGAAGGGTGTACCTGCGTGTGTGCGTGCACGCGGGTGTGTGTGTGTCCTCCCTGAGAAATGAGAAGAGAGATTCCCACCTTACATATCTTTCAACTGGTATTATTCTATATCTATGCAATGGTCTCAACTCTAGGAACACTTGGCCAGAGTTGTGGGCTGGGTCCTGGGCCAATGACTGGATGTTTTGAGTCTGAATTTCCTCTGATACCTGGGGAGTGAGGAGGTTCTTCCTCTTCCAACTCAGCATCCAAATCATAGGAACATGCTGCTGCCCCTTTCAGCCATGCTTTCTGTGAAACCCCTGCTACCTGACACCTTTACCCACAACTCCACTCCATCCGGAGGCACAAGTGCCAAGGAAGCCAGAACTGTCCCCTAGAGCAAGAAGAAGGAGCATGGCTTCAATGTCCAGGACCTAAGGGAAATGAGAGGAGAAGCCCAACAAAAACTCCACCTCCTGCTCTGTTAGGGGGCTTATTGGAACTCAGGGCACACTTGGTGTGCTTAAGAGCCAAGAGGCTGAGCTATCGACACACAGGGCTCTCGGGTGAACAGCAGGAAAGAGCATGCCAAAAAGGGATGCCTACCAGGACAGCCCTCACTCTGCCTGAGAGCCTGACTGTCCACTCTCCAGCCCGTGTGGTTGCCCATGGAAAGCTCTTGTTTTGCCTGGGCAGACAAGCTCAGTGATCTGTGCCAGAATCATAGGTCCCAGTGCCTGCTGGAAAAGCCCAACCCCAGGAGGCAGCCAGCCCAGGCAGTGTCCCTACTCACCTCTTCTTGTAGTCCTCCACCACGTCCCGCATGTTCCTCAGCTCCGAGTCCAGCCTCACCCTGTCCCCAGACAGGGTCTCCAGCTGCTTCCGCAGGCTGCTGATGTGGCCCTCATAAATGGGCTCCAGGTTCTTCCTACAGTTGTTCAGGTCCAGCTGCTGCAGCAGCTCCCACTTGGTCTCCAGCACCTGGTTCTGCTGCTCCAGGAACCGCACCTGGAACCCAAATCAACAGCCACCTTGAACCTAGTTCACAATCATTGTGGAGAGAACTGTGAAGGAATGGTGCTATCTTAAGCTATGTTAACTTAAAAGGTGAGCCCCTTAAAAATGCTACTCAAGGGCTGGGGTTTTGGCTCAATGATAAAGCACTCGCCTAGCACTGTGAGGCGCTGGGTTTGATCCCCACATATAAATAAATGAAATAAAGGTATTGTGTTCACTTACAACTAAAAAATATTTTTAAAAATGCCACTTAAATCCCTCCCCACCTAGAACTCTTAGTCTGATGGAGGCCCTTCCTCTGAAAACAGTTCCTAAGATAAGGAGGACCCCAACATTTTCTTTCCCCTCTCAATCTGTTGAGATCTAGACCCACTGGCTCCTTGCACCTACCTAAACTTGCCTGGGCTGCCTCTGTAGCCTGGTGAGTCCTTGGACACATAAGCTGGCCAGGGCTTACTGTTCCATTCTTGGGCTCTTCTGCTTGGGACATGTGGGGGGCCAGCCTGAGCTCTGCCTATTTTCTGACCCTTGTTCATGGCCCCTCCCAGTCTCCTATTGAGCTGGAGGTCAATGCTCCACTGCTCTTGGATCTTGAGCCTCCTCCATCGCTTTAACACTTGGATCTCTAATCTCAATCTGAGCATTTCCTGGCGGTGGGGGGGGGGACAAGCATTCTCCAAACACAGTCCAAAAATATCATGTCATTCCCTTATTTAACACCCTCAAGTGGTTCCACATCACCCACAGGGTCAATACTCTGCACAATGTGCCCAGCCCTTCCACCCCTCCTCCACATGCATCCAACACTCTCACAAACCCAAGGGCTCCATACTTAGTCCTGCCATGCTGCATGGGCTCCCTCTCCATGGACTGCCTTTGCCACCTCCATTGAGATCACTCCTATTCATATGTCCCCTGCTACCTATGCTCAGGAAATTTCTACTTCTCAAGACCCTACCGCCACTTTTTTTCCTTAGTGGGTCTCAAATTTTTGCATATATCAGCATCACTTAGAGGATCAGTCAAATTGCAGATTGCTGGGTGCCACCCCAAAGTTTCTGATTCAGAGGTCTGGGCAGAGCCTGGGAACATGTGTTTATCAAGTGTCCAGGTGATGCTCATGCTGCTGGTTCAAGGACCATGTTTAAGAACCACTGCCCTGGTGCCTGTGATCGCATCAGCCTCGTCTCCTAGGTTAGGTGTATTGCAGACAGAGTCTTTCATTTAATCCAAGCCTGATCTGGTCTGGGTCCCCTGGGAGGAAGAACTAGGACCCCTGACTTTCTAGACATCTCCAGCTGCCACTGGCCTCTCCTCTGCCTGGTTTCTAAAGATCAAAGGCTGTCACTCTTCCACTTATCAGCCTGAAGGCCACTTTCTCTGCCTCCTGGACACTTTCCCAGACCAAGCTTTCAAGCTCTTCTCTCCACGCTGACCCCTGTCCCTCAGATTCAATATCCAGTTCCTCTCTGATCTGTCCTGTGCTGTCTGCCTCTTGGGACTGTGTCCCCTACTTTCTCTGCTCTAGAAATGGAGCCCCTCAAGGACAGTAAAGGCAGAGGAAAGAGGAAAGTTCCATGCTTATATTTCACTAGAAAGACCCACCTTGTCAATGAAGGAGGCAAACTTGTTGTTCAGAGCCTTGATCTGCTCCCGCTCCTGGGTGCGCACCTTCTGGATCTCGGGGTCCACTTCCACATTGAGGGGGGCCAAGAGGTTCTTGTTGATAGTGACCTGGTGGATGCCCCCAGGCACATATGTGGCTGGATACGAGGGCCCCAGAGCCACACTGCCAAACATGCTGCTAGCAAAGCCTGTGGCTCGGCCCCGACAAAATCCATAGCCTCCTGTCCGCCCACTGCCACTGGACACGTTGAAGGACATGCTCCGGCCGCCCCCCAGGCTGTAGAGGCTCCGACTACTGAAGCCCCCACCAAGCCCTTTGCCCGCTGCTCTGTAGGAGGACGAGCTGACCCCAGAGAGCACTGCCGAGCAGCCACTGAAACCCCCCTTGGAGGCAGCTCCTGACTTGCAGGTGAATTGGCGGCTCATGTTAGGGAGACCAGAGAGCTCAAAGAAGAAGCTAAGTCTTAGCTGTGGGACAGTTCACCAGCTTGTGATCTTGTCTCCCTCTTTATAGGGCTCAGGAGACAGTCACTTCCCTAATTTGTGGGTTTAGTTTGCCTAGGAGCAAGAAATCATTTTCTTCCAGCAAAAATCAGAGGCACTGGGTAAATAACTTGAAAACCCCCGAAGTTCTGGACTGGCAAGCCTTGCTCATATAATTGAGTCTTACCTAATTAACATGTGGTAATTAGCCTGGCCATATTATCCCTAGAAAGATCTTGGCTGGGAAGTTTGTCACAGCCTCAATTGTCCTTCTCCTGGGGAATGGGGGAGGCTGAGATTGTAGGGGTGCCAGGAGAGACCTTTAATTGACAGCGTCATCTGTGAGAGATCTCACCAACATGCCGGCATCAGATAGGCTGCTTCAGGGACCCTGGCTGGGCTGCTTTTATGTGGTTAGGAAAAGAGTCCAGAAGCCTGGTTTCTCAGGGCTCCTCCAGACAGTTCTCATGGCTGCCCAGGGCCACAGAAGAGAACCCCACCAGGAATTCAGGCCCAGTGCGATGCTGCTGGCCCCCTTCTATGCCCCCCAGCAGGTTCCCCAGTCCCCTGTGCCAGCCAGACTACTTATTTACTTTCACTTGCACATACTAACTTCTATCCCCACTCTTGACCTTGAAATCATGATCACTGCCACGATTCACCATTCACAATGGCTGACACCAGTGCTTTGGTGTTGAAAGACCTTCTTGCACACAGAAGCTCACTCAATCCACTTAGTCTGCCTGGAGAGGAACTACGACAATCCACATCTCACAAATGGGGAGAGCGAGGCTCAGAGAGTTAAGAATGCCCTTCCTTTAGCAAACATTAAATGAACTCTGTTAGAATCCCCCAAAAGGGACACATCTAAAACACCCTGGCCCCAGCCTTAGGGACTCCCTTGGCTGATCTTATAACTTCACATTCAGAGCTATGAAGGCTTTACTCATTCATCCATCCAACCAGCCAGCTAGCCAGCCATTTACTTGTTTATTCACTCATTTATCCACTCGTTTAACATGTTTCTATGAAGGGCTGATCCTGCCCCTGGTATTGTGCTAGGTTCCGGGTCCTGCACTAAGAAAACCAAAACCTAGATAAGAAATTCTACGCAGACACAAATTTGACTAGGGTCTTGACATTACCAAAGTATGTGACCCAAGAGCTTCACAATTCCCACATCTCAGATACATCCATAATATATAATTTCTTCCATAAAAAATGCAGTTTCATTGCACTAGCTCAGTGTTTGAATGAAGTTCACCAATCTTTCCTTTTTATTTCTGTACAGAGGTTCTGTGTGCCCCTAATACCATTCTACCATGCAGTTGCCAAATTCAATCTTCTTTTTTTAAACATAAAGTATATATTTTCTAGTTAATAATAACCATTTTCTTGGATGTCCTTGATCTCAAGACAGGAAATAGCACTGGGCAATCTTCTGTCTTTTGTTCATGATCACAAAGGTGTATTTCTTTGCAACCTCTTTA